CAGTGCGTGCGCGCGGCTCATGGTGCCGCTGCCATGCGGTGCCGGCTGTGTGCGCGGTCGGTGCTGCCGTGCGGTGCGCGCTGCTGCCTCTGTTGCTGCCGTGTGGTGTGGTGCGTGCGGCTGGGCGGCCCGCTGTGCGTGCTGCTGCCTATGACTATGTGGTGCTGCCTCTGCTGCTGCCGTGTGGTGCGGTGCGCGCTGCCGGGCGGTGGCCCATAACAGGTGCGTGTTGCACGCTGCCAGGTGGTGCGTGCGGCTGGGCGGCCCGCTGTGCGTGCTATTGCCTTATGACTGCGCCGCAGTGTGCTTCCGGCTGGCATGCCCATAACACTATTGGTTTCTGATGGGTCTGTACCGACTCCAAGACTGCCTGGCAGTACTCAGAAAAATACATAGCGATTTTATTTCTAAGCGGGCAGACATCACTCATGTTGCAAACTTGCAATGATGAATAGAACTATGGAAGAGCTCCATGTTGGCTACGGAGACTCAATTGAGAAATGGGTTACAATTTTGAAGATCATTGTAATGGCAAGACAGTCGGTCAGTTCCAGGCCTAAACAGAGCCATTTCGGTGAAGCCAGGTAGTATTTGTTCCAATAAATGACTGGAACGAAATGCATTGGACAACGAAAATGTAAGTGAATTGGTTGCAGTGACGAAAGTTAAATACCACAAACTCCAAATCTTTAACTAGATTACGCATACAAAGACGAGAAAGAAATAAAGAAAACAGAAACAAAGAAACACCTGCCTACTTATCATTCCCGAGCTATTCAAAACGATGAAATACTTTCAAAAACAAAATTCAGGATTTCTTTATTCTCTAAGAAATCTTTCAATACAATTACCAGAAACGTAACCTGAAGAAACAAAGTTTAATCTGTGCATTCTTGTCAGAACCGTCTTTTTTCACATTAACGAAAAGAACTCAAGAAAAGGGAATGGCGTTCTTTTCCGAAGGATACACTTCCAGACCCAGAAAGAACAAGAAGAAGAAAAGCCAATAAATATCAGCAACAATAGAACATTAAACAAGGAAAAAGCGGGAAATTAAAGAAAACTGATGCGATATATGTCGGTACTAAACTAGAAAAAAAAAGTATACAGTAATAGTAGGAGACACAGAAAGAAATCACATGAAGAAAGAAAGGAAAGAAGAATTTAGGTAGTGATGGAATCGAACCTCATCCGATCTCTGTCTTCAGAAGAGAAATTGTAATCCATAAACCAAAGCCTGAAGTAGATGGCGATCCCCAAAAACATAAGCAACACGAAGCCAATAAAGATTGGGCTTTTCATATACACGGCCATTCGTTCTTTGTTTGATTGTCTATCTGCTTTCTCTTTCGCTCGCTCGCTCTTAAACTCAGAAAGAATCGCAAGGAAGTTCACCTTAGGCTTCACATCCCAAGTGAATGGGAAACTACAGGGTACATACTAGCAGGAGCTTCTGTTGAGGGACCGAGGGAGTGATTTTTCAAAAATGACGTGTAAACTGTAATGGGCGGGCCCTCATGAATTGCGAAGGAATTTTGGTCCAGTCGATACTCGATACGTGTGTTTGAAAGAACACCGTAGTCGAGTTGCTCACGAGTTATTCATGAGCTTCGAATTGAGTTCAAGTCTGATATAGGCTCGTTTGTTAATTAAACCGAGCTTGACCTCTAACCTCGGTTTGTAAGTCTTACAGTTACAGATTTAATATAATAAATAAATAATTTTTTATTATATATAATTTATAGTCCATTTTTAAATAATTTTTATTATATATATATATATATAATATTTTTATCAAAAAGTTTTCATCGTCGGCCACGAGAGATAATAAGGGGCACTTTTGTCAATTTATCCAAAATGCAGGGTCGGTCGGACTCTTCTCTCGCTTTTCAAAAAACCTACCAATGTTAAAATCTACCAGAAAAGAAAGAAGATGGTATATAGCAGGCAGGCGTGGCCCACTTGGCTGGATTTAGAGAGGCTCTTTGTCCTTGTACTGAATTGAAAGAGCTTTATAGACGCTCACTGCTTCCATTTAACGAAACAGAATTGTACCAGCGGCCGATCGGAGGGAGAGAGAAATAGATTGATGAAATTCACTCGCATCTGCCGTAACCATAGTTGCAACAATTCATTGACGCGATCCTATTAACCTTAAATTGAAACACCTGGCCACATACTTTTTTTTTAGTGTGTGTTTGGAGTTGTAGACATAACTTCAGCATTTTTCCCATTATGCAGATTCATATGTATAGAAACTAGTATATCTTGATTTATGTATATATATCTATTGTTGGGGGAAGCTTCATTTTAGCGATTCCTCCAATGGGTAGGCGTTTTATTCACTATTTTGCTGATAATGGTGCCTGAGTGTTAATAAATGGATTTATTACTGTTTTTCTTGATTTTGTAAATAAATCAATTACAAATATTTAGTGAATAAACACCTACGGTTCTAAATACATACTTAATTATTTGCATGTCTTTTTTTTTTTATTGGGCAGTTGTAATAAAGAAAACCTATTGCGAGTGAGACCATGATCGAAGGTGCTCAATGGAAACAGAATTACCGAAACAAATTTACATAATATGCTACAATAAATTCATGATATGAGAATGGTGTGTCCACAAAGGAAAAAAAAACCCTTGTCGGGTTGAAGTCAACCCTAATTCAATCCATGTTGTTGAACTCCTAACCCCAGGGGTGGAGTCAGGGGATGGCGGAGGGGAGCCATACCCCCCCCCCCCCTCTCACCCTTATGCCTTTAAAATTCTCATAAAATCTATTTAAGTTCCACTTATGTTTTAGCCTCCTATAAGGTTTTGGCCCTCCCTATCCAGGTTTTTTAGGTTTTGGCCCCCTCAAGAAAAAAATCCTAGGTCCGCTCCTGCCTAACCCAATCCTAAAACTTCAGATTGGGTTCAGGTTGGACCAACTTCTATATTTCATTTTGTCAAATAAACTTATTTTCTAAATTTAACGGGGTCATTAATTCTATATTAGCATTATTATAAAAGAATGTGATTATCATGTACTAGAAAAAATTACATTTAAATTTAAAATTTTTTCACATTCATCACCTTAATACTCTATTGAACGGTTGTTAATTGTTATAACAATACTAACCCACTCTCGAGTAAATTATACGCGTCTATAAACTGATGCAAGTATGCTGCTATTACCTGAGCTGGCCAGTGGCCAATATCTTATTGTCACTTCTGCTTCTGACCCGTCGGATCGTGGTCCATGGTGATGGGTATGGCCCTCCACGTCGGGAATGCAGACATCAACTTTGGCAGCTGCTACGTGATTATACTTCTACATGGATTCAGCCTTTGGGCTCTTTTGGTTTTGGGTGATTTGAATGGTATTTCTTCTAGTGCTAGTGCTGTAAAAGAAGGTGGTTTGGTTTCCATAGTGCATGGGCGCCGGCCGTATTCGTAAGTTTGTGGAGGTTATGAATGATTGTGGCCTCATGGATTTGGATTCCCATGATCCAGCCTACACTTGGACTAAAAGGTGCTCTCAAAATTTAATTAAAGAACGCCTCGATAGAATGTTGGCAACATCTTCATGATTTGATCTGTTTCTCTCACTGTGATTTCATTAAACACTTACCTGTTATTGGTAGTGACCATGCCACTATTTATGTAGCTTGGCTGGCTTCAAACGTCGATATACAGATACGGGTGTCAAACTGTCAATGGACCGGTTTTGGGTTGAATTCTGTCCAAATCAAAATTCATTTGAATGGATTGGACGGATCAATAAGACATTGAACTTGGATGGACTGGACGGACCAATATGACATATTGGATTGGACCTGATCCGTACATAATGAATTTATATTGGATTGAGCCAATATCTGATATGAAAATAAGAATATAGGCGTCAATGGACCAGGTTTGAGTTGAAACCAATCTAAATTAATAGGAATTCGAACAGATTAGACAGTCTTTGGACTGATCCAAAATAGTCATCGGAGTGGATTGAACCAGGTCCATTTGTAATGGACTGAACTGAATTGGACCAAATCCAGTCCAATTGACACCCCTATATACAGACCTCAGATTCTATTTGAGGCTATGTGGACCACTTATTCTGATTGTATGCCTATGTTGCAACAGTGTTGGTCTTCCTCTTATGATGGTTTTGTAGAAAAATGTGCTTCCATCAAGTCACAGTTAGACACTCGGTATAACTCTGCTCTTCCTTTTAAGACTAGGATTCATGCAGCTTTGAAATCAAATTTCAGAAATTCAGAATGGACCTATTTGCATGATGATACTGTGGCTCATGAGTCACGTCTCAAATCTGAACTAGAGCACTAGATTTTTATTGGAAGCAACATTCACGTTGTGACTGGCTGCAATATGGTGATAGAGCACTAGATTTTTTTCACATGATGGCTTCCAAGTGGTATATATATATATATCAGATCCTAAGGTAATCGAGAGCCAATTACTTACACATTTTTGCCAATTATTTACCTCTTCACCTCATTGCTTTGATGATCTGGACCATCTATACTGGTCCCTAAAATTAGACCTGAAGATAACCAATTATTACTGGCTATCCCTACGGATGTGGAGATTAAACAAATTTTATTTTCTATGGCCCCAGGACCAGATGGACCAACATGGATGGTCAATTATGGGGAATGATTTTGTGCCTTTGTAAGAAGTATATATGTTTTTGGATCCTTCTGAAGAAGGACCATGTGGAGCATCATCTAGTGATTTCAGACCAATTGGCCTTACAAATATTGTTTATAAGGTGGTTGCCAAATTAATCGCATGCCCATTAAAGTCTTTCTTGCCCGTCCAAAATTAATTTGGACGGATTGGACGGGCCAAAAAATCAATATGGAGGCTCTTTCACACGTTTTTACGTGCTATGCAGTTTCGATTCGGAAATTCTACTGTGACACTAACGCATCTCATGTTTGCCGATGATCTACTCCTTATTAGGGAGGCCTCTATGCGTGAGATTTCAGAGTTTAAGCACATAATTGACACTTATTGTTGTTGGTCAGGACAGATAGTGAATTATGATAAATCCTCTATTTATTTATATTTTAGTAAAAATACCCCTGATTCACTCAGACCTGATATTATGGATTACTTGGCAGTTGTTGAAATGCCTAAATCGGAAATCTATCTATCTAGGGGGACCGTTTCTCGATGCCACCCAGGCCATCATGCAACCTTTTGGCAGTTCATTGTTGATAAAGCTCGATCCGAACTCAAGGGATGAAAAACTGATGTGCTTTCTCATGCCGGTAAGAAGGCCTGGAAATCTTTTCTTAGACCTATGGAAATGGGTGGTATGGACTTTGTGATCCTTTCTTAAACTTGCGTGGCGATTTCTCAGAGGAAGATGCTCTATGGGCGCAGATTCTCAAAAGTATTTACATCAGTCATCCTTTTGGCGCAAATCTAAGATTTCTAGGTCTTCTCCGTTGTTGGGCTGTTTTACTAGATTGTCGAGTTGATGTCAGTTAAAACAGAAAAACAGAAATAAAATAATAGAGATATTGCGAAAATGATTTGATTAATTTGTATATACTAGGGTCGAATCAACCCTATTTATAGTTACAATGGGACTATACAAGGATAAGAGATAAGAGATAAAGTTTATTTGGGATAGTTTAGGTTTATCTAGGTTAACTCTTATCTGGAGATAGGATTAGGATTATTCCAGTTTGTTTTCTTGAGATAGGATTAAGAGAACCTAGATGGTTAGATTATCTTGATGGGCCTGGAGATTTAAATGAGCCCATGGACGTCTACGTTATTAATCTCCTCCATGGTTGTAAATGGCTAGTGTACTTTTCTGGTTGGAAGGTGAATATATTTTTTGATCTATGGTTGCCATTTGGACTTCTAGATAAATCCACCACTTGAACAAACCCTTGTGAAAAGGTTTCTATGCTTGTTGACTCCTCTACTAAATGTTGGAATCGTTCTCTTTTGGCTTCCCACTTTGACATTGCTACATGCACTCTAATTGCATCCCTCCCACTGCCTATCTACGCCCAACCAATAAATGACCGTTTCACTTGGCGTTTTACGCCTCATGGTCGTTATACTTGCAACTCTGGCTATAAATTTCTCACTCAGAACTTGTCGGAGTATTCTCAATCCATGTGGATTTGCCAAAGTCTAAGCTGGAAAACCTTGTGGAAAATTCCATTTATCATTCCTTGTATTAAAGTTTTTTTTTTTTTTTTTTTCTCGAGATGCTCTATGGGTGCAGTGCCTAGTGCCTGTCAGTGGGACCAGAATATCACTACTGATTTGTCTGCTATATATGGTTGAGAAATGGGTAGCTTTGGGAAGTGACTTTTTTTTTGGTAGAAACTAGCAAAATAAAGTTTATTAAAATAAAGCACAGAGTACGAAAGAGCAACATAAGTTAAAGTCTAATTAAGTTTTGCTTGGACAAATCTTGGATTCACCCAGGTGGATGTTGGGCAAACAACCCAGACTCTTTTAGACCTCTCTTGGTTAGCATATATGCAATAGTATTATAAGATCTATTTACATGATTAAAAGAAATTGCTAAATCTTTAGTTAGTAACCTAATGTCCATGCACAAAAAGTTTGCATCTGAAACCAAGTCCAAATTTCTTATTTTCAGAGCCTACACCAGAATTTGACAGTCAAATTCCATAGCTATATCTTCCTCTCTGTACATACTCAAAACCTCTAGACTGTTGAGGATCGCCATCGCTTCAGCCTGGATGGGAGACGAAGCTGTTGATTTTCCAAAAACTACAACTATTACTGATCCTACACCATTCCTTAGAACTGCACCAAAACCTGAATTTCTAGAACACAAAAAGCTCCCATCGACATTCATCTTGAGTTTCCTTGCTTCTGGTGCTTCTCAAAAAGAATATCTCATCTCACTCAGGCTTGGATGTTGAGGAGATGAATCTCGCAATCTTGCTTGGGAAATCATCACTCTCTCCCTCCACATTCTATAAGAAATAGCAAGTGTAACTCTAGGAATTGGGTCTGCATTTTCAAAAATTTTACCATTCCTAGCCTTCCAGATGTTCCAAAGTAAAAGAAAAGAGAAAGAAAGAACTTCATCTTTTCTGTCTCCGTCTTTTAAGCACAAGTCCAACTAAGTTGAGAGCCAATGATTGAAAGAACTAAACGATCCCCCTCTTAATCCTAGAAAATTCATGTGAGAACCAAACCAAGTTGCTTTGGCGTGTTCACAATCAAATAAGTAGTGTATAATGGTTTCTATCTGTTGATTACAGATTGGACAGATGCTATCATTAGAAAGTTTTCTTTTATAGAGGTTTTCTCTCACTGCTAGAGCATTTTGAGAACATTTCCAAATAAAGTTTTTTATTTTTGGGTCAATTTTTCCTTTCTAGAATTCAGCCCACTACTTTTTCCCCATATTTACTACAATGATAGGGTTTGAGATCCCAATGGCTGGCTTAATATTTTGTGAATGGTCCATTTAAGTTTGTACTCCCAGTTTCCCCTAACTAAATTTACATCCAGAATGTTTTTAGCAATTTTCTTCCACCAATCTTGTATTCCATCTTCTACCATGAGATCCTTTACCAAAGTCAACTTTGGGTTATTTGTCATGGGCCCCATAATTCTAAAAGACTCAATCTGGTAAAAAACTTGTATTCCCCTACTAGACTTAATATTTTGTAATAGTACCCATTTTTAACTGTGTAAAAAACCCTTTGGATGATAGGTCCATTTAAGTTTGTCCTCTCAGTTTCCCTAGCTAAATTTACACCTAGAATGTTTTTAGCAATTTACTTCCCAAAATTTTCTTCCACCAATCTTGCATTCCATCTTCTACCATGAGATCCTTTACCCAAGTCAACTTTGGGTTATTTGTCATGGGCCCCATAATTCTAAAAGACTCAATCCGGTTAAACCAAGGGCCATCCAATATTCTAACTTTTGTACTAGAATTTACAACCCAATAGGCTCCTTTCTGGAGGACCTGCTACCACTATACTTTGCCATCCCCAGGAATCCCTAGTAGGCAAACTGTTAGTCAGGAAATTTCTTTTCTTTAGGTATTTGGTCTTTATAATCTTCGTCCATATGTTATTTTCTTCATTGCATAATCTCTAGGCTTGCTTTGCTAACAAAGCCAGGTTAAAGTTATAAGGATCCCTAAACCCCAACCTTCCGGCATATTTAATTTTGCTGAGAACCTCCCAACAAACCCAATGGTGTTTTCCTTTGATCCTTTATTCCCCCCCCCCCAACCCACACACACACACCAAAACCTAGTTTGGATTTTCTTTAGTTCATTACACACTTCCTTTGGAAGGAGAAAATAAGACATTGTGTAATTTGGGATTACACTGGCTACTGCTTTAATCAGAACTTCTTTCCCCGCTTGAGATAGAAGAGATTTATGCCATTTTGATAGCAATTTTTCAACTCTTTCAATTAAGAAGTTGAAGAGGGTTTTCTTTGATTTATCAATTTTTGTGGGAAGCCCTAAATATATAGAAGGAGATTCTACTCTTTTCATTTTTAGAAATTTTGCCAAAAGATTTTGCGGTCTATGATGCAAATTTCTGCTGCAAAAAACCTCTGATTTGGAGAAATTTACATGCTGCCCTAAGGTCTCTTCATAAGATTTGAGAGCATCTAGAATACTTTGCCCCTCCCCCATCTCTGCTTTAGAAAATATATAATTGTCATCTGCAAAAAACAACTAAGAGACAGTTGGATAGTTTCTAATAATTGAGATGCCATTTATTTTCTTTTGGGAAGCAAGCTTTTGTAGACCGAGATTCAGAGCAAAGTAAAAATAAATATGGGGACAGAGGGTCTCCCTACCTCAGCTCCCTCTGTGGGACAAACTTTTGTCCAAGGTTTCCATTGATTATGATCCTATAAGAGACAATAGACACATTTCATGACCCAATTTACCTATTTTGCTCCAAATCCCATCTTGATCATAGTGCTCTCCAAGAAATTCCACTCCACCCTATCATAGGCTTTTCTCATATCAAGTTTTAATGCCATCCAAGAAGTTCTCCCTCTAGCATTTTTCATCCAAGGCTTTGCTCATATCATAGGCTTTGGTAAGTGACTTGAGTTCAAACTCTTTGTCGTTATTGGATATGGAATTAATTGCTATATGGTATATTTGGGAACAGTGCAATCTGGTTATCTTTGAACACGTTGATTGTAACCCATTGCATTAGTTCTCACTCACTACTCTGAGACGCTCTGTTTGCAGCCAAATATTGAAAGTACTTTGGTGACCAATCAGAGAATTGTTTCTCCCCAACTTTCATGGTGTCGACAACCTTTAGGTTTTATTAAAATCAACACTGATGCAGCGTGGTCCTCTTCAGCAGAAGCAATTGGTGTACTTCCGACAGATGATACAAGATGTTTCCTCTTTGGCAGAGCCAGACGTTATGTTGCTCTTCAGAGGAAGAGGCCGAGGCTCAAGCTGTATATGAAGGTTTTCTCATGGCTCAGAGTTTGTCTCTCCATTCTATTCAGCTAGAAACCGAATGCAAACGGGAGGTTGATTGGTTAAATTCTTATCCATGAATGTAGGTCTTATCTCTACCTTTATTATCCACTTCACTATCTTACATACATCTTGTGTTTGTAACAAATTAGCTCATCATCTTGCCACTAATGCTTATCGAAATACCTCTACAATGACAAGGTATCTCCATCTTTCTGCGGTCATTATTACCCTCCGAGATATAACTTTTTGATGATTATTTAAGGGAATTGCCTTCGGGCTTAAAATAAAAAAAAAAAAGACTGTTAGAATCTAAAAACCGATGCAATCTGGTTTTCCTCTCATGAATGTGTGGATCACTGAATCAGTGGATTTGTCATTGGGATTTTTTTCTTCATGGGATTAAAAACGGGGGTAGCCCAACCCCAACCCTGGTGGCAGTAGGATTTGATCAAAAGTGCCTGCTACAAATCAGAGATCCTACGGAGCCACCACCAGTTGGTGTCATTAGGAAGCTAAGATATATAGTTGTAACACCACTAATCTGTTGAATGAACAAGAGTAAAGGCAACCTTTTTCTTCATCTGCTACTCACTACCTGCCTAATAAGTACACACGAAAGGAAAGCCTCTCATCTCTTCCTGCACGCATTCACGGAAACACAGTAATTAGTAATAAAGAGGACTATGGAAGCTCTCAAGTCTGAACCACTATACCCCTGCATTGCAAGCTCTTTGATTTCCCTACAAAGAACGGTGAAATTTAGGACTATGGAAACAATTCCTTTTTGTAATTAATTTAATATAATGGAAATATGATTTCGTACAAATCTTTATCTCTTCCTCCTTCCTCTCTCTTGTTCATTTGAGAACCGGCCACCGGGGGGGGGGGGGGGTGTTCAATCAATAAAATGACGGTGGTTATACAAAGGACCAATTGACGAAAGAGAAGGCAAGACAGTGGACGGTGTTTTCTTCTGCAAGGACTTTCCAAGCGAAGGCTTGTTCATATGAAACATGCCGTCCCATGGTTGACGTGCAAATTCCAGCAGGCAGATAAGCAAATCCCTGCAAAGCAAGAAGGTTCAAAAGCTCAGGAATATTGCCAACAAGAAATGCCATCCAAACAAAATGATCTATAATAGGAGCAGGATTGGTTCAGGCAATTATAATCACATTACCCAACAATCTCATGTAATTCGCATTTAGCAGGTTAGAATTTGGAACCCTATTCAGTGTCAGGCAATGATCGTTACCTGTTGCATTATCTTGGCAAAGTCAGAGCACAATGCCTTCCATCCGGACTCATCAAACATCTTTTCCAGCGTAATGTCCTGAAGAGCCACCAGTGTGGTCTCCAGCATGTCAAGCCCCGCTTGGTTGGCAAAGGTGAAAACTGGTAGCGACTGTAAAACCAATAAAAGAATGTATATATCATCCACCATTACTTTATTAGATGGCTTGCAGTTCATTTTGAATTTCATGTTCGCTTGGACCCTAACTCAATTGGACAAAGTTTGGTCTCAATGCACCAATCCCAACTATATTTCAACCAAGCAGATTTCTCTACTTATCAAGCAGTTCTGAAAGTCCAAACATCTTAAGATGCTAGATAACTTGGTGAAAGCATTCAAGCATGAAAGAATGGGGAGCCCTTAGGAGTTAGAAAAAAAGCCCTTATGCTCAGTTTGGCGGGAGTATAAATACAAATATGTAGAGTGCAAAACCTTCTATTTTTTATGTATTTGTACTGCACATATTTGTATTTGAACTCTTTCCAAACTGAGCCTTAGGGGCAACCTCAATATCACATTTGCTTTAAAAGTTTAAATAAAAGGAAACAAGTGTTTCCCCTAATGGTCCAAAGACAACAATGCATAATGGCCCAACATTTTTCCAAAGAAATTTTAACCGTACCTTAAGTGAGCAGCATAATATAGCATCTTGATGGTGCCAGAGCTGCTTTAGCACTGAGTCTTCGACATGGCGTTCAGTCCCCAGCAACTCAATCCCAAAATAGTAACTGAGTATAGAACAGAACGAAAATGCATATTAGGACCTCGGAAAGCATGTGATTCATAATCATTTTGACATTATCTTGTGTGCATGTGCATGTGCATGTGTGTATTATTTCATTGGGGCTGGGCAGAGGGGTTTTAATGGATTAAATAATCAATTCAAAGAAATAGATTGATTTCAAAGATGTATATTAAGCCTTTGGACAAGTAAACCATCTTGTGATATAAATGCTGTGCTTGGTTCTTCAGAAAGTGAGAAAAAGAAATTTATCGAGGAATATAACAAATGCCTTGAGGACTTAACCACAACTTTACAGTTTGCATTACTTCACAGATAAATTAAACACAATGAATAGAAATAAAGAAAGAAAATGTTAAGGTGCTGTTAGATTAGCATAACTTGCCTAAAGCTATGGCAGATCCACTGAGCAAGTGTAAGAGCTTCTGGAGAGACTGGAGATAGCTTTTGCCCTAAATGTGGGCTCAGTCCAGATGGAGCTATGGCCATGGAAACCCTTTGCACAGAGGATATTACACTGCGGATATATTGTCGTGCCATTGTTGCAACATTGTCCTGAAGATGGTTCTCAAAGGGAAATTGGAAAGCAATGGTCAAGACTGAACGTGTGTTTATAGCATTTGAAGATGCATTTCCGGAAGCACGATTTGTGGCAGGACCTGCTTCAAGATTGGAAGCTAGATCCAATGTCCGATGTGCATTCAACACATCTTGTTTTTCACACTGCACAAAACTAACATTAGTTTCAGGAGAGCAAACTAGTCTCACCAAATTTCCTAAAGTATAGCCTTGCTTGAAATGGTAATGAAGTAGGCAGGACATTAAAAATATTATTTTCCAAAATTGAAGCATCCTCCAGTGTCAAAAAACCTGGAGAAGAGAGTTGACCATACAAATTCGAAGTCAAATAGCACTTTGATTTGCAAGCAATCAATACAAATTGGCAATTATGATAGTCAACTGATTAGGAAATGCGGACAGAAAATGCTTTGCTGTGATGAAGTAAAGTTGTAAAATAAAATTATGTTTTTTTTTCTTGACATGATAAACAACATTTGATGAATTATTGAGGTATGAATTGGGTTTGGGTCTTTGGGAAAAAATTGATGTGGTAAAGGAACAAAGCATACATATTTTGAACAATACTACAAACGTGCACTCGAGCACACAGTAGAAGAAATAGTAAAGTGAAGCATAATAACAACTCACTGATTTTGAATCCAATGGTATTATCCGAAACCCAGAGGGTAGCAATGGAGCATCATCTGGAAACATTTCATCTATTGGAGCAAAAACAAGTTCAGAGCAGGATCCCACTGCATTTTCATCCAATCCACAACAAATCTGCAGCATAAAAACAAAGTAATTTCAGCATTGTTAATTTCTGTAACATCTATTTTCCTGGCTACTTAGCACTTAAACCTATATATTCCTAAATAGCAAATCAAGAAGCACATGGCATTATGACTTCAATGAAGTAAACAATATAATGTGCTTATAATCTTGAGTTCAATAGTTAAGAAGCTGCACATTTAATTTCACCATGCAATAATTTGTTAATTATAATTCACATTGACACCAAAAATAATACCTGTAAGAGATGAATATCCCTGGAAAATATAGCTTCTTCTTGAGTTAAAGCATGACCCTCAAGCCGAATTACTTCAAGCAACTGGAAAACTCACAAGCATACAAGTAAGATGCAATACAAGCAGAAGGAAAATGAATAGAAATCTATATAATAGAGTAAATCTATAATGCTGGAAAGGTATGATACCAGAAGAGCTTAGAGCAATCAAACCCCACTCCAAAAAATTTTGATGAATACCACCTGATTGGTTATAAGTTTTTCCAGTGTCATGTCTTTCTAGTATCATAGTAAAACCCTATATAATAAATGTGAACTAATATAAAACTGTACCATACGAAGGACCAAAAGGCATTTTTACATGCTTTCTATAGGAGAAACATAAACCATGTTATGAATCACCAAATCTTCCTTCAAACCCAGAGAAAAAAAAAAACTCTTCCTGCCTAGTGAAAATTTGTTTATCAAAGAGCACCCCACCTCCTAAATTGAGAAGTTACAGAAATATCATTTTTGGGGGTAAATGGGAACATCTACCATTTTGTAAACCTAAGTATTTTATTTGGTAGGATACCAAAAGAAAAGGAAACATTTCTAGCAATACCAACAATTGCATAATGGGAGATGCCAAAAACATAAAATTTACAATTTACAATAATAATAAGAAATAGAAACACAAACAGACCTCCTCGTGTTCCACTGTGTGACCAAGTGGCATGACAACCTGGCTCCCAGAAAACCTGGTGGACCTCAAGCCCTGGAAGGCATATGAACCAGATTTCAAAGATCCAGCAGAATATGCATCAATGCTGAAATCAGCCCATTCAGAACGATGCTCCCTCAGAAAGCGAACCAGCAGTGCAGGAGGAACATTCTAACAATAAGAACAGATAATGCCATAACTATTTAAACCATCAGAGAAATATCTATAAAATTAAAGTTGCATAAGTCACTACACTCAAATGATCAGGCTTCACCTGGAAAACTCAAGAAAAATGGGCTTCAAAACCAGGAAATTATTAATCAAAAATACAGCACACCTTGCACTGAAATCATCCCAATAAGTCAACAAATTGTATGCATAACAAGTACTGAGAATCCAAAAGTAGGGGCCTAAGATTCAAACTTGTTGGGTGTCGGTCCAGCCCATATGAGGGGCCCACCCCACCTTTTCGTTCTCCCAAAAAGGAGCCGTATTGTGGGAGCCAAAAAGGCTTCCACCTAGTTTCGGTTTTTTGGTTCCTATTTGTAATCACCAAAGTGAAGGTGAGAAGAGAAAAAGGAACCGAGGGTTTTCTGGTTTTTTGAGTTTGTGAAGAAGAGAAGAAAGAAGTTTTGTTTTCTGCTTCATTCAAGGCCAAGTTCGGATGTGGTTTCAAGCCTGTTCTTGATGACATTTAGTGCTGTTCAAGGAGTTAAGAACCTCACTGCAGTTCAGATTGGTTGTCTCTTCCTTCTTCTTAGTTTCATATTTACAGCAACTTGATGAGATCCAAACCCTTGTTTTCTTGAAATCCACTTTACATTTTTGGTGACGTTGATGCTGTATTTGTGAGCCAAGGATTATTTCCTTGTTGTTTGTAAACCTCTAGTTTCAACTAGAGAGGACCGCTGTACCCATTGATTTTGAATTAGCGGAAGACTTTTACGGACCATAGGTCCCATGGTTTTTCCCCAAATTTGGGGTTTTCCACGTAAAAATTCTGGTGTGCTGTTTTGTGGTGATTGCTATTTGTATTTTCTCTACTTGGCTGAATTGTTTATCTGTTATCATTGCTCTTGACAAACCCATTTTATCACACAAACTTTGGGGAAGGTTTCTTGCTGTCCTGGGATTGTTTTTCACACTCATTTCTGCTACTTATCTTCCCCAACAATACTGTACAGTCCAAAGGCATGAAGTGTAATTGAGGCATAAGCCTCATGAAACTAGTCACCTAAATCTCAAAATTTTCATCTTATTTCTATTATTTCTCTAACTTGTTAAAAGCAGGAAAAAATATATGAGGTTCTCATCCTACTTACAAGTCCCTTTCCCTTGATAATCTCATAAATTCCCATTTAACAGTGACCAAATCCATTATTTGCCATATATTTTATGCTTAACAAAACGAAATTTCATTAAAAATTTTAAGAAAATAATATATTAGTAAATGTGACCATATAAAATAAAAATCTATATTGTAGCATTAATTATTATATTGGAACATCCTCAACCATTATACAAATAATCTTATACTTTATGAATTTAATTTAGCAATATGGACTCACATACTTTTTGTCAAAATAATCTTCTACTAAAAACATTTTCAATTGTATATTTACATTATATTCCTTTATACATATGATACTGTGCATTAACACAATGAATTAAAAGTGTGTATTTATACTTCTTTAATCATTTGGTAAAACATTATTGGATACTTTAGAGATCTCACAATGTTTCCAACATTAAACATTAGTTTAATCTTTACAGCATTCTATATGACATTTCAAATATTTCCTAGTTCTTACATGCCTACCGTTCTTAGGTGACAGACATTTCCATTGAAACCAACATTTAAACCTTGATCACTATATGCCTATACACCATATAGCTAAGGTCTCATAAATTACTAGGTTATATGACTATACAAGTTGAATAAATGCATATTGGCACCACCTCAGTTAACAAGTTGCTCATTGTTCCCTCTTCTTCCAAGTTTCTTTTACTTGCTACATATGCTTAGTTGTATACCGCAAGGAAATGGCAAGGGGAAAAATTCATTACTAAGCAATGTACCATTTATCTTTTTCCCTCTCCAGCTTACCATTTTTCCCGTTTGTTAAAGGTGTTGCATTCCACCATAGTTAAGGTCTTTTATCTATTTATTAATTGTCTTACTTTTATAAATTACAATGATTACTTTATTGCTATGGCTGAGTAGTTGAAATGGTCACTCGGTGTCCCACCAAAAAGAGGAGGGGTGGGTCTCTATGGTATAGACGGAAGGTCTCATGTTCACCCAGCTGTCCACACCCAAGTCCTCTTTAATGTGTCATCATCTTCTAAGCACTGCCCCAACTATAAGGGGTTGGCTACATGAATCCCATTTCACCATCCTGTTTCCTTAAGTGCCATATCCATTGTTAAATTATGAGTGCTTAAATCAATTCTTACTACTTCAACATATTTAGTCCCCTCTAATGTGTAGTACCAGGAAAACGATTATTTTATTAAACCCTTGAGGAGTAAACCTCACACCACAAGGCCAGTAACCTCAATAGTGTAGTTAAAAATTAAAAATATTGTATAATTAAATCTATAATTTTAATAAAGCAAGAAGGCAGCTAGTTGGTCAGTAAGCAGTTATGGTTTAAAAGGGTGTCGCATTTCCATTTCCATGGGTATCAAGATAAAAAATTACTGGAATCAATATATTCCTAAGCAAGGGTGCAACTTGGGCAGGCTTGGGTTGGGATTTTGTTAAAATATGAATGGGCCCTAGCCCAATGGAATCTAAATTCTTCAAATTGGGAACCAGGCTTGCACCCTTATTCCTAAGTGAAAACTATGGGCAATAGTGAAATGATGAGTACTTTCACCTAGCTCAAAATTCTTTTTGCAAGTGATGTTAAATCTTAGCTTTTGTTTATGTGATAGATTATTTAGTTGACCTATTATATGGTTTAAATTTTGCTTGAAGTTATTCTATTATATGGTTTTAACTCTTGAAGTCTATAGGAGAATTTTGCAATTTACTATTATTATCACTGTTAACCTTAGTTTCTTGGCTTTGTTTGATGGTTTAAAACAAAACAATAATGTAAGAGGATGTATTTGAGCTTTCTTTATCATTTCATAATGTTCACATTATTTTCATAATTCATACAATATTTCCATATGGAATTTCCAACGTGTTTTATATATTTGGATGACTAAAATTTCCATAAACACCAACATTTTAAACCTTATACAAATAACAATATGTTCCTTCTTTCCCCTTCATTTCAATAAATTAACTTGCAAATTGAACGTCTATGAATATTTCTCTTTTCTCAAAAAGTTGCAAGTTCTTTAAGTTTATTATAGTTCTTCATTCTGCTGTTGTTCCATATGCTATAGCACTGTAATAAGATCAGTGATATCTCAACACTTCATTGTGATAACTAGAAAATAAGAAGCCATAAAATCCAAAAAATTGGGGAAAACTTATACTATGGTTCAAAACTCACTTGGAGTAGCATGGATGCCTTCGCACAGAGAATACCTCCAGACAAGGCAAGTGTATTAGCAGCAGGATTTGCAATGGTGCCGACATTCTTGGCTGAGTTAATAGAAATTATTACATCTTCAGCACCATCACAACTCATCAATGACCAGCCATCATCATTAAATCCATTAATAGCATCATTGAATCCTCTACAAGAAAAGGAAATTCAATCAGCAGAATGCATACACAAATGAAAGAGTGAAGTAGAGAAGCAAAAGTATCATACATACTACCTGCTCAATCTTTGGCTAAAAGTTCGCAGTACAGCAGGCTGCCTGCCCAAACCATATACCACCTCACCACTTGTCTCCTGAGCAATTTGTCTGATATGGCGTAGTGCCTTTACATGGAAAAAAATAAATAAATGATCTAATCAGTTACTGTATCCTCTTTTACAATTTTATTTATTTTTTATTTTAATTTTTTTATCGAATTTATGGGTAACATTTGTTATCAGTTGCTATTGCTACATTTCATAGAACATGACAGCACTCATTAAAAAAACTAAAAAAAATATATTTTAATGAGTGCTGTCATGTTCTACGTATGAAATGTAGCAAAAGCAACTGATAACAAAATTCCAGTTTCTATACTGGAAATATTAGCAAACATGGTCTCTACTTTAGCATTAGTAAAATACTGATAAAAAAGGGGCTTGAGAGAAATCGTTCAACCTCAAAGTCTCATCCATGGTTGAACACCATGTTTGTATTTATATACAGTATTTTGTACAGAGGCAGAGTTTTAGTGAAATACGTTGATTGAGTACAGTAGCTATCCAAAGATTTTGTGATTGGGGTGATGACGTGGGTATAGTTGCAATGATGTTTATCCTGTATTCTTATCATCCCCCAGCAGGTGAACGGGGTGAGGAACCACAGCCAACTTGGAGCACAGAGAAGCAAAACGGGGCTGAGGCAGAGGCTTGGTGAGTGCATTGGCTAATTGATCTTTGGATGATAGAAACTGTACACGAAGAGACCCGTTGGAGATCAGCTCTCGAACAAAGTGGAAGTCAATGGCGATGTGCTTGGCACAGGCATGAAAAACTGGATTTGCACTGAGGTATGTAGCACCTAGGTTGTCACACCACAAAACAGGAGGCTGGGTGAAGAGAAACCCAATTTGGATAGAAGAGGTTGAAGCCAGAGGATTTCAGAGGCAGCACAAGCAATGGTTTCATATTTGGATTCAGTGCTGGACCTAGACACCGTGCTTGCTTGTGGGAGGACCACGAGACTAGGTTGGCTCCAAGAAACACACAGAATACACCCTGGGAGCGGCGGTCATCCGGGCAACCTGCCCAATCAGCATCGGAGAAGGCTTGAAGAGAGAGAGATGAAGATGACCACAGCTGAAGCCCAAAAAGATGTGTGTTTGAAGTACCAAAGGACTCTATTAGCAGTAGCCCAGTGATCAGATTGAGGATCATGCATGAACTGACATAATTTGTTGACAACAAAGGCAACATCAGGCCTTGTTATAGTAAGATACTGCATAGTGCCAACAATTTGGTGATAGAGAGAGCGGTCATCAACAGGTTCACCAGTGGATTTGGTGAGCTTGCAAGCAGCTGCCATAGGTGGTTATAGGCTTGACACTTTCCACGTGAAATTTTTTGAGCAAATCAACAATGTAACAAGTTTGAGAGAGGAATAAAGTGTCACCAAGACGAGAGACCTCCACACCAAGGAAAAAACTGAGATCTCCAAGATCCTTCACCGCAAAGGAAGTGGCCATAGCAGAGAGGAGAAATTGGGTATCACATGCAGAGGATCGAGTCACGATGATGTCGTCAACATAAACCAGAGTGAAGATGGTAACATTGTCCTTGCGATATATAAAGAGGGAGTTGTCTGCTTTGGACATGTGAAAGCCATAAGTATAGACTGGAGCTTGTCATACAAGGCGTGAGGTGCTTGCTTGAGCCTGTATAGGGACTTTTTTAATTGGCAAACATGAGAGGAGAGGATAGGATGGACAAACCCCAGAGACTGAATCATGAAGGCATCTTCAGATAGTGTGCTAGGAGGAAAAGCATTTTGTATGTCTAGTTGCCTCAGTGACCAGGTGAGAGAGAGAGAGAGCAATAGTGAGAATGACACGCCGGTGGCATCCTTTGGCAACCAAACGAACCTTGTAACGCTCAATAGTGCCATCAGCTTTGCGCTTGACATGGAAGACCCATTTGCATCCAACTAAGTTCATGTCGGGTTGTGGAGGGACAAGTTCCCATGTTTCACTTTGGAGTAATGTGTTGAGTGGGCTGGTTTATTTTGTTGAGTGGCCCGATTTGTCTTTAGTTTGTTTTTATTTAATTAGGAAGTTGTTGGGCCTTCGGCCCATTAGTTTTTATTTTTTAAAGTTGTGACTATTCAGTTTTAGTAGCCACCCTACTAAGGGCATCCTTGTAATATCTCATCTTTAAGTTAAATATAAATATAATGAGG